GTAAGGGGAGATGGGGAGAGAAAAGTGAGAAGGGGAGGTTGGGGGGAACTTGGGAAACGGGATGTTTGGGATAAAGGAAGGTTGGATAGGGGAGCAGGGAAGCACACATCTTAATTAAGGGAGCCATCTTAGGGTTGGCAAGAGATTTGGTGCTCCCAGGTGCCCAGGGCGATGTCCCCAGTTAGTTTGGGGCAGCTGAGGTCAGAGAACCTGAAATGACCCTATCCTATAGCCATACTGATGAATATCTTGCATATCACCATAGAACCTTCATCTGGAGATGGATGGAGATAGAGTCAAAATAAAGATCTTTAAAAAACAATTTCAAACTAAAATGTAATAGACTTTGAATATTTAAAGTATTGATATATTTCACATTAACCTACTTTCTTAACTCTTCATAAAATTATACAACTCTATGAAAGGCTCAATATTTGTGTGTACTTAGAAATATTAAAAATTTAAAATTTTCATAGTGATTTGTATACTTTTAGTTTGAGAAAAAATATTTTTAAAATAGTTTCTGTACATTTTGAACAGCTGGATAATTTTTAAAAAGTAATTATAACTGAAACATATTGTCTTCTAAATTAGAAGAAAGGGTTAATAAGATGGTTCAATCAGTTAAGTGCTTGCAAGTTAGATGCTTGCCTTGTAAGCATGTAAGGGCTTGGGTATGATTCCCAGAACCTATGTGAGAAAGCCACACACTGAAATGTTATTTCAGCACCGGGGAGGTTTAAACAGATGGATCCCTAGGTTTGCTGCCCAGCCAGATTAGCATACTTGTTGAGTTTTAGGTCACTTGTCTCAAGGGTAAAGGGGACAATGCTGGATGATTGGCACCTGAGGTTTCCACTAATCTCCACATGCATGTGAGTCTGCCTGCACAAATGAACAAATAATCACACATGCACACACACACACATACAGAGAGAGAGAGAGAGAGAGAGAGAGAGAGAGAGAGAGAGAGAGAAGAGGAAGAAGAAGAAGAAGAAGAAGAAGAAGAAGAAGAAGAAGAAGAAGAAGAAGAAGAAGAAGAAGAAGAAGAAGAAGAAGAAGAAATAACTCTTGTGGATTTAACAAGCAAGGAATTTGTCTCAATATTTTCTTTTATCTTCTCTGGATGAACCGTATGGGAACGACAGCTCCATCCCTGTTCTTAGCCAACTTACTGTCTCCTAGCAGTACCCACCTCCACCCCTCCACACACACTTATTTTTTCTCCTCCCTGCCTGAACCTGATTTCACATTTGAACTGAGGCTGGTGCGTTTTATATTTTTTTTGTTCTTGTTGCTATGTTTCTGGAGGAAATCAATTTGTTTTAAATGTGTTCTGAATGGCTCCGGTTTGAATTCAGCACAGCGTATTTATTTGGGTATGCATGATGAGGGGGTGATTATTGTAACTGACATAGAAGCATTGAAGAGAATCGTTTTTAAATTCCTGTCCACCAACATTCAGAAGCTGAAAGTAGCTTCTAATTTACAAAAATGGCTAATCATTTTTTTCTCTGTGAATTGTTTCCTAGGAAACCAATAATGTATTCACAGCAAAACGTATAACCATATAAACTAATGGGGAAATAAAATTAATTTTTTTGTTTTGACATTTATGATAATCATTTAAAAAATAATCATAAAAGTTATTAAGTATTCTACTTAAAATTGTCATAGACTGTTAAAAAACACAAATAGGACAAAAATGGGAGCAGATAATACCATCACGAAGGTTTCGATTCATCTTTATTTGGGGATTTAACATAGGTTTGCTTGCTTGCTTGCTTGCCTAACTGGAAGATTGTCTGAGAGCTAGCTGGGCTGGTTCACGCCAAAAATCTAGGCTTTTTGCAGGTTTCCTTTTGGCTAACAAGAAGCATTAAACAAAGGCAAGACCCTCTTGAGCTGAGAGCCTCAAATGACCACGCGGCCACATGCACGAAATCCTCTCTGCTTGCTGAGTGGGAATGAGTGAGGCTTTGATTTATATTTAATTCTTAATTTTATTTCTGTTGAAACAAAGGTTTTTGATTTATATTAAGTGATAATAAAAATTATTTCTGAGCAGTAAGCTCGGGAACAATACACCTCTGGATTACTGACGTGTACTTATTAGGTTTTTAAAAGTAACTTCATCTTCTGTCATTTTTGCTTCACAGTGTGCAATATTAGCAGGTAAACATATAAAGCATCATCTTGTCTTTTGTTTTTGTTTTTTTATTGTTTGAGACAAGGTTTCATTTTGCTCAGTCAGGAAATTAATTCACTGTTTGGATTGGAGGCATGCATCATTCCCATGCCCCTCTATCAGCTTATTTATTCATTTTTGGTTTATTAATTTATTTAAATTTGTTTTCTATTGTTTGTGTATGGTGTGTGCGTGTGTATGTGTGTGTGTTTGTGCTGCACATGTGGAGGCCAGAGAACAACTTTGGCAAGTTACTCACTTCTTTCCTTCACTGTGGGACCCAAGGATGGAACTCAAGTTGCGGGGTTTGTATGGCCATGTCTTTATGCTTTGGTCCACCTCACCAATACTAGTTTTGCTCTTGGAGACAGGGTCTCATAGCTTCTGTGGCCTTAAACTCACGGTAGAGTCGAAGATGACTTTGAAGTACTGATTTGTTACCTCCTAAGTGCTGGAGTCACAGGCATGGGCCACCACGTCAGTCTGTTCCTTTTGCAGTCCACAGCATCTTACTGAGAATCAAACATCAGCCGTTAAAAAAAAAAAAAAAAAAAAAACAGCGTTCATGCCAGGGCCTTTCTAACGTGAGATGTACAAAAGCCAAGAAATCACCAAGGAAATTTGGAAGCGTTTTCTTCCATCCTGGTAGCTGTTGTTTTTATCAAAGAAAAATTTCCAACGTTAATTATTTCCTAGAGGACCAGCCGCAGACAAAAAAAAGAAGCCAAAGCAAAGTTTTGAGACGCTGATGCAAATGTCCGCAGCTTGTTTGACTCGGGGCGGAAGGGACCTTTCTGATCTCTGATAGAATCAGGTCCCCAAGCTTGTCGGTTCTTGTACCAGGTGCCTCCAGATTTGACTTTCATCGTGATGAGCTGTTGGCATCAACTTTTGTTTTGGAATTTTTCCCATGGTACATAGGTAACATTCCAGGGTGTGGAAGACGGCTGCCCCTGGATGTGTTCCACTCTGAAGAAATTAAAGCAACGGCTCTAGGCAGAGATTACAATGCAGCTCGCCTCTTATGCTCCCACATCTAGTTCCTCAGTGCAGAAGAAAATAACAGTTGCACCTACTAAACATTATGAGACTTGCCGCTGAGTTTGATGCCTGACAGTAGGCTTTGGAATCTGTACCCAGCTGAAAAACTGTGATTGCAGAGAACCCACAGCTGAACCCTGGTTTGCCAGGCACCTCCGTCTCCCAGCTTTCACTGTGAACCGTTGATATAATTCCCAGAGTTGGCATTTTATTGTTAAAATCACAGTAAATTGTTTTGTAGAGAATATTCTTCCCATGGGTCTTGTTAATATATGAGAAGGTTTTTAAATAAAGGGCATGCAGTTCAATTGTCTTTTTTTCTCCTAGACCAAACATCTGGTGGGGCTGTTGAGAACAAGGAGCTGATCCCACGGGTACCAGAGGATACACCTGCCTCTGAAACAGACATCAACTTGGAGGTGTCATTTGCGGAGCAAGCTGTCAATCAGAAAGAACTCAGCAAGGAGAAGATGCCCAAGATCCGAGGCAATGATGCCTCATTACCTGTATGTAATACATGCTCAGATGATCCTAAAAGAATGTCTTTTGGATGACCATTGAGTTCTTAAAATTAGAAGCCAAAGAAAAGTTGAGGTAGCAAGAACTGTTAAATTGGTATCAACAGTTGATTCAAATTATTAATATTTTCCTATCCTTTCTTTCTATATCTGTTTATTTGTATATACACTGTTCTAACAGGGAGAATATATTCACTTGGTATTTTAAGACTTTGAAAACATTCAAATCAGAGTTGGAGCTGGAGAGTTGGCTCAGTGATTAGGAGCACTGGCTGCTCTGTGAGGGTCCAGGTTTGGTTCTCAGCACCTACGTGGCTGCTCACAATTATGTAACTCCAGGTTCAGGGAATCCAATTCCCTCTTCTGGTATCTCTGGACACAAGGCATGCAAGTGGTGAGGTGCACAGACAAATATGCGGGAAAACACCTCATACACATAAAAATAAACATTAAACATAAAAAGTAAACAAAGTTTTAAGACTTCAGTAAGATTCTAAAGTCATAGTTAATATTTAACAATCACAAAAACTTGGCAATTGTCACAGACTGCCCTCATAGTGTCTCCCTTCCTCATACCCTTTGGAGACTTGGATATGAAGTATATGTTGTGTTAGTTGAGATCTTTTTCTCTTTTATTTTTGTTTGTGTTTTCTTTCTTTCTTTCTTTCTTTCTTTCTTTCTTTCTTTCTTTCTTTCTTTCTTTCTTTCTTTCTTTCTTTAAGAGCAATCAGGGTTCCCTGCCCTGTGGGAAGTCCAAAAACCACCCACCTCCATCCAGGTCTAGTAAGGTAAGCATCCAAACTGCCTAGCTCCCACAAAGCCAGTACGTGCAGTAGGATCAAAAACCCATTGCCATTGTCTTTGCGTTCTCAGTAAACATTTTAAAAGAAGTTCATAATATTAAAAATTTGTCTGATCATTTCATTGTGATTAGACACAAGTTAAACATTTGTGCTATGCCTCTGAAGTGATACAAGCCATTCTCCATGACAGAAGTTTTGCCACCAAGTGGGCTAAGGGAGATGCTCCCTAGTTCTCATGCAGTGAAGATGCCTTTCTTACCTACAGTTTATACTTGTTTGGTCCCCATTTTATCCTTTTCTGGGCTTTGAGAAACATTGATTTCCTTAGCCTGTTGTCTCTTCTACCTTAATTGACAGCTGCATTCCTCAGTAATTGGTAGCTCTCCTTCTCTTTTAAGCTTCGCATGCCACTATGGACTGCTAACTCTTTCATTCCACAGTTCGTAGATATCATTTGTTGTCTTTGAAGGTCAGAGCTACACAGCCTGGGCCGCCTTGGCCTTGGCCGGTGGGGGCCGCGGTTGGTTCCTGTGCAGTTTCATCATGCCCTCCTTATCCCTTTCTTCTTCATTTTCTAGGACAGTATGTTCCAGGCTCACCTTGTAATTTTCTCCCTCTTAGACTTGAAAGCAGCTGTTTCTTACAGCAACTGGTTCCTTTTTAGCAACAAATGGTCTTTAGGACCTGAGCCTTCCTCTGTACAGCGTGTTCTCTCTGCTGTGAGTGCCTCCTGTCTTTTCATACATTTTAAAGCAGAAGCTAAAGAAGAACACAAGGAACTTGTGAGTTCTTCACCTGTCAGCCAGGCCGGACCCCTCTGCAACTCTGTCCAGTTTCCTTATCTGTGTTATTTCAAAACACATGTCTGAATTTTGGTTATCATCTGTAAAGATTTATATTGCTGAAAACAAAGCAAAAACAGAAGTATTAAAAACTGCACACTCATGTTATTGTTATTATTCCTTTAAAATACCTTTAAACTGGGCATTTTCATTTCAAATACTCAGTTTTTAAACTTCAGGATACCTCAATTACCATGACTGCTCCTGCAGTTTGAGGGACGGCTCCAAAGAAATCCTGTGCATTGAGTTTGCTTGGTATGACACTTAGATTCTCCATCTTTCCCTTCACCCTGCCCGCCCTCCCCATCCCTCCATTCCTCTGGTTCCCCCTCCCCACTGACCTCCACTCTGCCAATTCTGCTACTTTCTTATTCTCTTCCCGCCTGTCACCTGTTTTCCTGTGCCCCTTCACCTTTTCAAAGTTGATTTTTTTGGTCTTGTCACAAGCTTATGTGTGTTGCACATGTTTGTGCATGCTCATGTATGTGTAGGCACATGTGAATGTGTACAAGTGTGTGCATGTGGAGGCCCGAAGGAAGGTGTTAGGAATCTTCTTCAATCCCTCTTTCACCTGACTTATCGCTTATTTGTCTTTAAAACAAACCCAGGGCTTGCTGAGCAGCTCATCTGGCTAACCAGCTTGTTGGGATGAGCCCTTGTCTTCTGCTTTCAGAGGTTTGGAATGCAGGCAGCCGCCCCCCCCCCCCCACACACACACACCGGGTTCCACACCCTGGTCCTCTCTCTTGTGCAGCAAGTGTTTTAAGTGCTGTACCGTCTTCCAGCCCTGTCCTCACTTTATTGAAAGAGCCATGTTATAAAACTCAGGTGAATCTCACTCTTGACTCTTTGGGTCCTTATAGTATAGTTTCACTCCTCCTATGTATTTATAAACTAGTTGACATTAGTTCTATCGGATTTAAGTTCCTGGTTGTTTTGATTTGGTCTAGATACTTTAGATATATTGTCATTGTTCTCTACTGGGGATACCTGGCTATCTTTCTTTTGTCTAATTAAAACTGTGATTCAGATCCATACCTGACTCCATTAAGGTATTAATGGTCTAAAAGTTGAGGTCCTAATAGTTTCTTCTTTTTCATTTATTATTCTGGACATTTCCTTTATGAAAACAATTATCAAGATGGTTATATTTTCCACTTTATATAAGTTTTCAAATTTGGATTTTTCTTTCTTGGTATCCATTATCAGTGCCAACTCATGTCTGTGTATGCTTATAAAACTGGCTTCTTAACCCATGGGTTCATACATGTTTAATGACACCATAGGAAAATCTCTCTGGGCTTAGCTAGTGTATTCCCTGCTCAGGCTTAAAAGTGCTCACTTTCAAGTGTTCCTAGTTCCATTTAGTAGAAGTAGAGATCTCCACCTGTGGCCAGGACCCCAGGAGTGTTCAGTTCTCTGGACCGCTTATCACTTGGGAACCCTGTTCAGTAGAGATGTCGATTTTTATCTCCTTTCTCCCATGCCGAGAAAGTGTAGTTCTCAGGAAAGGGCAGGTGACAGAGCTTCCGCTGTCCAAAACACACTTGATTATTTTACATTAATGCATAACATTCTCACAATGCCAGTGGTAACCATGTTCTGTAAGAGCGCTTCAGAATGGTTAAAGGTTGCCTTTCTGCAGCCATTTGTGTCCTTGGTATGTATCGCAAAGGAGATTTGATACAGTGAAGTTAGGGAGCTGTAGCTTTTTAAGGGTGGTTATTCTCTGTGTGATTAAGCTGCCAAGTGCATATCTGGTTGGGTTAATTTGCTATGGTTTATTTTTTTTCTTTTTCTTTTTTTTTATATAATTTTTTTATTGAAAAAAAAAAGATTTCCGCCTCCTCCCCCCCCCCC